AGTAATTTGTCTTATTTTCTGTCGTATATGAACACCCGTATCTACAAAAATCGGCACGTTTATACACACCAAATATTTTTCAAAATTCCTTTTAAAATATTGGGAGTCGATGAATTGTATTAACCTTTTCCATTTATGATGAGTAAATATAGATTTCACTTAATAATAATATCAACTAAATGTTACACATTAGTAAATAATTTTAAAAAATTTAAAACTTAATAAATTATTCTAATTATTCTAATAACTATTCTAATTATTATTAATTATTCTAATAATCATTCAAATTAAAAATTAAAAAATTATAGTAAAAATTTATTATTTATCGATTTTTTTTCTTAAGACAATATTATCCCTAATACTATTTCTTCATAAAATCAATTAAAAACTTCTCTAATTAAATAAGGATTCAATTTTATTGTATTTTTATTTTACGGTTCAGTGTAGATTTTCATTAACTGGGAACATATTTTAGAAAAAAGAAATTGATGACTTAAATTTCTCAAGAAGTTCTGATTTTAACTAATATAAACATTAGGATTTATATAATTTAATTTCTAGAAATTTCCTAAAATGAAATAAGTGGGGGAGGGGGACTCAATAGATGTAAAAAAAAAATATTTATGATAAGATATCCTAAAAAAAACTCCCAAAATTTCATTCATTTGTAAATATGTCATAAAATTGATTTTTTGAATACATACATACATATATATATATATATATATATATATATATATATATATATATATATATATATAATAAAATAATATATATATAAGTGAATAATTAAAACATACTTTAGTCTTTCCTCTTAATAATAAATATTTTAACTATAAAACTCTGTTTTATCGAGTATAGAGCCTTTTTTTCATCAGAGAATGTTCTTGTTTCAGCGAATTCGTGGAGGTATCTATCTATATATATACATATAATGTGTATATATATATATATATATATATATATATATATATATGTGTGTGTGTGTGTGTGTGTGTGTGTGTGTGTGTGTGTGTGTGTATACAATTTTATATATATTATTTATATATTATATATGTGCAGTATTTATTGGAAAAGTGACAGAGCTAACATATTTCGTTGGATTGATGTGAGTTTGTGACCCTGGGTTATACGCTATTTGCGATCGTCAGACATATATATATATATATATATATATATATATATATATATATATATGGATTGATGTTTAGTTCGTTACCCTGGGTTTCACGCTATTTACGATCATCAGTCCAGAGTTTTGTGACGATTGCAAATAGCGTGAAACCCAGTGTCACAAACTCACACCAATCCAACTATATATATATATATATATATATATATATATATATATATATATATATATTATGCATGGTATTAGTGGAAAGTGCTCAATATCTGTGATACAGGTAACATATTCAGTAGTTTGTAACCCTGTGTTTCACGCTTTTGAGATCATCAGACAAACTGGTTTATTTTTAAAAAATTGAACCTATAGATATACATACATACTGGTGTATGCACTTTAGTTCGTATGAACTAAAATGCATACACCTGTAAGTACTTGTACATATGTATGTGAGATTGTCCTTCTAAACAAACAGAAAGAAGAAAATCCACCCTCCACACACACAAATACTCCAACACAAATGAGCATAAATAGATACACTTTTTAAAAAATCAACCAGTTTTTCTGATGATCACCAAAGCGTGACACCTAGCGTTTCAAACTAATATTCATACAACTGAATATATATATATATATATATATATATATATATATATATATATATATATATATATAATAATAGGTGGCCACTCGTTATATTTAACGGCCGCACTACGCGGGTCGTATGTGGCACAAGGCCGAGTTTATCGTGCGTCCTCAGAACCCGTAGGCTCGGCCAAAAATATTCCCTTAGAACCCGCATAAACGGGTTCAGGGTTTGTCTACCTCCGCGGACGAAATTTTGCCCTTCGGCAAAACCTTGTCCGGGTCCCTCTCTGCCGAAGCAGAGAGTTCGACTGTTACGAACAGTCTGGTTGACTGTTAATATTTAACAGACCCCCCACAAGGGTGTACGTGGCACAAGGCCGGTTTATTTTGGGTACTCCGAGCCCGTAGGCTTGGCCAAAATTATTCCCTTTCATGCCGCCTAAAGGGGTTCAGGGATTGTCTACCTCCCCGGACGAAACTTTGCCCTGCGGCAAGGTTTCGTCTGAGTTCCTCTCTGCCGAGGCAGAGCGTTCGACAGAAATGAACAGTGTGGTTGACTGTTAATATTTAACAGCCAACCACTGTTGTCATTAAAATTTGTATGCATTAAAAGACTGTTAATCCATAGAGTGACGTGATCCTCATTTATAAAACTGTTGTCTGTTGTTTCCAGTTTATATTTTTTTTAAATGCAAGTACTTTCGAATAATCCTTTTGTTCATCGTCAGGCATAAGTTTTCCGTATAAAATCAAAAACTTTAAGACGAAATAATTGTTTGTCGACCGAAAGGTGTTTTCTTTTAGTATGTGCTATTATTGACGGTTGTGTACAATATCGGAACGTGCAAAGACGCAACGCTAAGTTTTTCAAAATTTTAAGTGAGAATTTTATTTGAACTTTTCTTGCATTTAAAAAAATATAAACTGGAAACAACAGACAACAGTTTTATAAATGAGGATCACGTCATTCAATGGATTAACAGTATGCACTACTAGCGATGGATATCGCCAATAATAGCATAAATATTGCTGATTGATTCTATGTGTGATTATTTCTTTGTATATATATATATATATATATATATATATATATATATATATATATATATATATATGTGTGTGTGTGTGTGTGTGTGTGTGTGTGTGTGTGTGATTCTATGCGTGATTATTTCTTTGTATATAAATTATATGCTGCCTAATGTTTTATGTTTATATATATAGATATATATATATTGACACATTTTGGGATTAGACATGAATTGAATACAATTGGCGCAGAAAACCTTCTAGACACCTACAATCCTAACTGTGGCAAACTACTGATCCAAATCGACCAGATCTCTTCGGAAAAAAAAATCAAATTCCCCGGAAAAGAAAGAGCTACTTCATCTTTCATTTTCTATTTCTCGTCTCGATGAAAAAGAACACAGGCGTTTTAAATTAAGAGCTGTCTTTCTCTTAGACCATTTGCTATGGAAGGCTATAGAATCCAGTCTGCCATGCTGTTTATCCATAGCGAAAGTTTAAAAGTTAAATATTTTCAATTCTATAGAAAAATGATCATCCAATCATATTATGTCTTTTGATCAATTTATGGATGTTATGGCTATTAGTGCTGGGTTGATTCTTTCACCTAAACATCCAAAACTTGTTGAATTGCCTTCGTCGCTGAAATAAATAGACAAAGAAAAGGCGGAAGGATACGGAGACACTAGAGGAACAGTTTAGGACACTGATTTTATTGCCTTCTTTGGGATTCCAACGACCTCTTGTTGGGGAATTTCCTTCCCGAACAGTTGGCACGTGTTCACCAGTCAAAGGTCCAACAGAGAAAGAGATAGATTCTTCTAGTTTATCTTTGGCGCCAGGAACTCTCTCTTTTTTTGCACATGCGTAAATTGTCTTTCCTGTCAGAGGACTCCTGGGAGATTTTAATGTTTATTTTATTTTGTACTTTTATTTAATTTTGTATTTTTATTTTATCTTGTATTTTTATTTTATTCCCACAAATTTTCGTAAAAAAACAAAACAAATCAAAGATTTAACAATTCATCGAATAAAAACAGTTTATTAATAAAAGTTCAGCGTCCAAAACTTAGACAGCACAATTGTAAAAAACACATGTAAATTAAATTAACAACAATATTGACTTTATATCGATACAGAATATTAATAAGGAGGACATGAGATTAAATTTACATTGTGACATCTACGGCGGCAGGATTTCGGTAATTGGTCGCTTTGTTCTAGCGTGATTTTAGAATAATTAGTTTTCTTTTCTGTTTATGAATTTCTCTATCATCTGTCCTTTTCCATGCCACAAAACCTAGCCATCTTAAAAAAAAAAAAGACAGGAGACTAAAATTGAAAACAACACTAAAAAATATTTCGGCTGTTGTTCGCTCCGGCCTTCTTCAGGTGATTGGAATTTCGGACCGAATCCTTTATTTCATCCACCGGGATAGAGTTTTCTAGTTCCACATGCCATGCCTCTTCCGGGTGTCTCAGTTATTTCCCTTTTGATTGCAAAGATCAACTGTTGATAAATAAAATGATCATGGAAATCTGCGAGGAAAGTGATAGAAATCTCAGAAGAGTTTTGATCGATTATCGTAAAGTATTTGATAGGGCGCCATATTTTTTTTATTCTTAAGGTTTTGGAACTGTACAAAGATTTAAAAAAAAAAATTAAAACTCAAAGTTTGAAAATGAGATGCCCATGGCAACTTTGGAGACATGGTGAGCTTTTTTGGAACGCCCTAATTTGGAGACAATTTCAACGCACTGTACTTCTTATTTCTCGCTGGCACCAACTTAAAAAGTGATTCGCTGTTTTATCAAAACCTATCAATATATCGCGCACATTTGTCTCTAATGCATGAGTCTGATAAACTCCGGTAAACTCTGGTAAACACAGGGTGATATTATGGTTAAATTGTGGTTATATATTTGTACCCTAGTGTCACTCTGATGGTGTAGAGATCTCTCGCGCAATAATAAGAAATAGAAGAAGCTGTAGTAAACTGCAGATGTAGTGGTTGATTGATTTGATTTTTTACGGCTTATCGCCCCTTTGCAGGATATTTAAAGCCAGGAAGTATTTTACATTTTCAGATACTTTTAGAGATAATAATAATTTAATGATGCAAGTCCTACTAATTAACCCAGAGCTAGGGACAAAAAGGGTGGATTTATACCTTTCCCAAGAATATTTACGCGTAAGCGAATATAACGAACCCGAAAACAATTTCGGGTCTTTATTCATTACACCACCTGCACATCTAAGCGTACAACACCTGATATTCCCGAGGCGTCACTCACTTAAGTACAGACCAGGTTTAACATTGCTTAACTTCGGTGATCGTACGTGAATCGGTGTTTCAACGTGATATGTCCGTAAGCTATACAGCCCACATATCCAAACTTACAGCACCTAATATTCCTAAACGGTCACCCATCTTAATACGGACCAGGCTCGACGATGCTTAACTTCGGTGATCGTACGTGAATTGGTGTTTCAACGTGATATGGCCGTAAGCTATAATGCCCACATATCAAAACTTACTACATCTTGTATTCCTAAACGGTCACCCATCTTCATACAGACCAAACTCGACGTTGCTTAACTTCGGTGATCGTACGCGAATCGATGTTTCAATGTGATATGGCTATAAGCTATGCCGCCCACATGCGTACAGCACTTAGTATTTCTAAGCGAACACCTCTCTTCGTACTGACCAGGCTAGACGTTGCTTAACTTTGTGGTGATCGTACAAAAACCTGTGTTTCAAAGTGATGTAGCCGTAAACCATACCACACAAACATCCAAGATTACAGCATTTTGCATTCCCAAGCAGTCACCCTTCTAGATACTAACCTGTCTCGACGTTGCTTCACCTCGGATATCGTACGACAACCGCTCTTTCAACGTGATAGGACCGTAAACAAGAGATAGTAATAGTAGTGGTAGTAGTAAAGAACAGACATCGTAGTAATAGTAATTTTAATAATATCCGTTTCCTTATAAGGAAACATTTGTCATTCACTGATCGAGCAGCTAGTAGTGTTTTCGGTTGAAATTTATAAAATCTTTCTCTTAAAACATATTTTGGGGAAAACAGGTTTCTGAAGTCCAGTAGCTGTTATCGCTCTTTCCAGTATTGATGTGGAGTTTCCTTCCTAACCTTTTGTTTGAAGTAGTGTGGCATATCAACATCTTGATTATGTACTCATGTTTGCTTGTTTTAATTCAGGCATTGTTTTTCTGTTTGAAATTGTAAAGATCATTCAATACACCCGACGAGAAAAAAAAAAAACTTTGTTTCTGTTGCTTCAAGTCTCTTCTTCATCTATAAGGAGATTGTCGAACATTCACTGTCATTGAGAAGGACAAATATTGCGTAACAATACAGTACTCTTTCCTTTGCTTCTAATGATGTTTTTTTTCGGTTTCTTAATACTCTGCTTAGCTTTTGGAAGGCATCTTTGGCCATCTCCATACGTCTTCGGATCTCAGTCTCGCCTTTCCCATCCTCTGTTAGAACACTTCCCAGATATTTAAATGTCTGTACTCTTGTTTGCTTGTTTTAATTCAGGCATTATTTTTTCAGTTTTCTAGATACTGACCATGTTCGACGTTGCTTAACTTTGGTAATCGGACGGAGTAATGGATAACGGCTCGGAATGACTAATCGGAGATCCGAGTTCGAATTCCAGTCGAATCCATTGGGAAAAGTATGAATCCTCTTCTCGCCTCCCCCAGCTATGGGTAAATAGCAGAACAGACCGGGTTCTATAGCCTTGGATGGTAACTGGTCTACCACAGAAAGAAATGGCAACCTACTCTGGGAAATAAATCTGCCTTGTCAGTCAGGTATCGAAAGATACATGATCGCCTAAGCGTGTATCACGAATTGCACATAATTTACTGAGGTATTGACCAGGCTCTACGTTGCTTAACTTCGGTAATCGTACGGGAACGGGTATTTCAACGTGATGCGAACGTAAGTCTCTATATTTAGGTGTCTTCTAATTTTAAATCTGGCACAAGGCTATCATTCACGGAGGCCTATATAAGGAATAAAAGCACTACATTAGTAATCGTCTTCATGATATAAATGCCAACCTCGAGAATCAGTGAAAAAAGCACTTTCCTTCTCAAACGTGGCGTGAAATCAAAACAAAAAGCTATAATATTCCATAATATTAATCGTAATATTAACCGTTTCCCTATAAGAAAACATTTAGCATTCATTGACCGAGCAGTCATTACTGTTTTCGATAGAAATTTATAAAATCTAAAAGCAACTTGTTTGAGAAAGCAGGTATCTTAAGTCCAGTTCATCTATAAGGAGATTGTCGAGCATTCACTGCCATTGAGAAAGACAGATAACACGTAACAGTACAGTGCTCTTTCCTTTGTTTCTAATGAAGTTTTTTTTTCCCGTTTCTTAATACTCTGCTTAGCTTTTGGAAGGCATCTTTGGCCATCCCTATACGGTTTATTTGAGTGGTGTGGAATGTCATCTTGATTATATACTCGTGTTTGCTTGTTTTAATTCAGGCGTTATTTTCAGATTGTAAACATCCTTCAGTACACCCTACAAGAAAAAAATCTCTGGTGGTCATAGCTCAGATGATCCTTTTATCCACTCAGTCGTACGAGAACCACTATTTCAACGTGATGCGAACGTAAGTCTCTATATTTAGGTATCTTCTAATTTTAAATTTGGCACAAGGCTATCATTCACGGAGGCCTATGTTAGGAATAAAAGGACAACATTAGTAATCGTCTTCAAGATATAATTGCCAACTCCTAGAATCGATCAAAAAGTATTAGATGTTTCCAAATTCAGTTCTGAACATAGTCTCCTTCTTTTTCAAACGTGATACGAAGTCGAAAATTAATTCCTTATCTGCTTTAATCTACAATAGATATAATAATCCATAATGATAATTGTAATATTAGCCGTTTCTCTAGAAGGAAACATTTGACATTCATTGACCGAATGGCCAGTATTGCTTTCGATTGAAAATTTTGAAATCTTTCTCTTAAAACATCTTTTGGGGAAAAACAATTTTCTCAAGTCCAGTAGCTATTATCGCTCTTTCCATTACTGATCGGGGGTGGGGTTCCTTCTTAACCTTCTATTTGAAGTGATGCTGAATTTCAATATTTTGTTTATGTTATATTATATTCCTTCGAGTTACACGCGCTATTTATTTTAGTTGTTGCTGCTGTTGGTAGTCCTCAAGTGATGGGCTTTCTGTTTCTTTTTTCTTTTTTTTCCTTTTTTTCTTTTTGGTACAATCCTTTGATACTGTATCATCAGTTCACAAAGTTAAAAAAAAAAGATGATCTTTGTCAAAACTCTCAGGTTTCACCTTCTCAAACCCTTTTTTTAACCATTGATCTGTGAAAGCGGATACAACTGACAGTTTAAGTATTTCTGACCAGGTTTGACGCTAAAATAAAATTCTCGATCTGATGAGTTTATTTACGAACATGAAACGAGTTTTCAGGTTGATGTTTTGGTCAAGCAGAAATTGGCGGTGTTGGGCGAAACTATCTCTGTTTAATCTATTTTTCTACTATAATCAATTTGTAAACAATAGATATAGTATTATTAGAAAACTATATTTTTTAGTAGTAGTAGTAGCAAATGATGTCATAATGTGTATTGGTAGCTATGGTAATGGTCTGGGTATTTTCTGTAAGTTAAATAAAATTCTAATTGTAATATGAACCGTTTCCTCACAAGGAAACATTTGACATTCATTGACGAGCAGACAGTATTGCTTTCGATTATCGTCATATCCAGTAGGCGGATGTAGTTTATCGTCTTACCCATGACGCGGATGTAGTTTATCGTCTTACCCAGTGATTGGTTTTCTGTTTTTTTTTTTGTTGTTGTTTTTCTTTTTTTTTGTACATTCCTTGTGATACTGTTCACAAAGTTCAAAAAAAAAAAAAGATGATCTTTGCCAAGACACTTGGGCTTCACTCGCTCAAATCCTTTTTTAACCATTGATTTGAGAAAGTGGATATATACAACTGACAGTTTAGGTATTTCTGACAGGGTTTGATGCCATGCACGGCATCCATATAAAAATCTCTATCCATCAAGGTTATTTACGAAGATGATTCGAGTTTTCAGGTTGATGTTTTAGTTTAGCAGCAATTGGTGGTGTTGGGCGAAACTACCTCTTTCGCAGCCAGATGTTTAACTTATTTTTCTACTATACTTAATTTATAAATAGTAGATATAGTATTATTAGTAAACTATATATTTAATAGTTGTAGTAGTAATAGAAAATGATGACGTACATAGAATTAGTAGCTATGGTAATGGTTTGCGTATTTTCTCTAAGTTAAATAAAATTCAACCTGCAATTTATTCAGTCCGGAAACTCGTCCAAATTCATTATCTTCGTAATAAGAAATTTAACGGGCGACTCTCTACTCAGATGAAATAGAATTTTCTTTTTACTGTACGTTTTTTTTTTTTAAGTAAATTTTCACCTAACACAAAAATAAAGAAAGAAAAGAAAAAAAAAAGAAAAGAAAGAAAAGAAGAAGAAGAAAACACCAGTAAAAACACGAACAGAAATTTCTGGCGATTTAACATCCAATAATTTACAGTGAAGCCGAAATGGTCTTTTAACAGCTTGGAAGCGCAAAAATCGATGGGAATCGGCAAAATTCGATCATTAATATGCAAAGCGCCTTTTCGAAGTGAACAATTATTTCGCAGGTGAGGACGACAAGAAAATGAAGGGTAGACATTGACTTTCTTTCTCGGCCTCACAGCCACGAAAATCTTGCTCAATTAATTCCGTGGGGATTTTCGCTCGAACTGTGTAAGTGCTTGATATATTTTAGGCTAATAGCAACGAAACTGCTCGTGATTATGTTTAAGGCTTCGACTGCCATATTATGAACAATAAAAAAAGCCACCAATAAGTTAATTTACATACAGATTACAATCACCATATATATTATTATAACCACAACGTTTCGGCTGTTGTTCTCTCAGGCCATCTTCAAGTGTCTTTCGTTTCGAGTAAGCTTCAGAGCATTTTGAACTGAAGTCTTTATTTCATCTGCAACCGTAGGCAAAGTTTAATAAATGAAATAAAATAAAAAATATTTCTTAAATATCCTGAAAAATTATAATATACTTATCATTTCCTTAAGTAGTCGTAACACCAGCATTCTTAAGGAGAGGTCCATGAGGTAACTAGGTTTCTAAAACCAGATACTTGGATAAGCGAAACAAAAATATTAAATATCCAGTAGCAAAACGAAGAACAATCCTACCGGCACTCACCGTGTTACTTGACCAATTACCGACTACAAGAGGCCAGTTCTCTCTGCCCTTTCACCAGAAAGTGGCATAGGCTGGTCTACTTCTCTAACTAACAAAAAACTAATCAGGACAAAAAAAGAAGGCGGCATCTCTCTCTCTCTCTCTCTCTCTCTCTCTCTCTCTCTCCCCTGTTTGAATGCAGGGCGAGCTACAAAACCTGTCGCATAA